GCCAGTAGTTGTTGCAGACTGTCAGTAAATTCCTGCCACAAGGATAAAGGGTTGTGCTCTTCCCTTCCGATTCATGTTTGTTCAAGTGTCGTCGTCCGGAGGCATTCGATTGGAGTTAACAGATTGTCATCTGTGTCTCCCTTCGTTGCCGTCGGGCCAAATGAACCGACTGAAGACAACACCTGAACAAACATGAATTGGCAATTCGGTGCTGCCATGGTATGAACTGGTTGGCACAGTGGTAACGCACACGCTTTCCATGCGATGGGTCTTCAGTTCCAATCCCGGACGGGATGGTGGATATGCACCACTGATGAGCTCTAATAAGAACTTTCCAGTGTATGGTTGGATCGATCAACTGAGGATTGTGCGTGAAGGTGAAGTCAGCTTGAATTAGTAAATATTCATGAACTACCAATCAAGGGGTCAAACTTATCTTATGCAACTAATAGGCCTGATTAGGGTTGTCCTACTCATGTTCCACTGGATCGTATTTTGATCATTCTCGACTTTCGTCTGAACGCCACCTACCACGGTAAACATCACACACAGATGACATATGTAGCACAGACCCCCAGTCATCGCGATCCACGGAGGTTGAGCACGTGCATCAGTATTTAATCGTTGCCCAATCTCCACTCTGCCTGTCCGGTTGTCATAGTAACTTGTTAACTGGGGGGGGGGGAGTGTATACCGTTGTTCGAACATCGATAGTTTGCTTTTGGCTTTGAGACGTAGTATTTGTATCTGTATCTGTAAATCGACGCTAGCCTTATAGCGGAGAAATGTTTACTCGATCGAGTGTTTTTCCGATGGCGCCAAAGGGGCATCAAGTCAGCTAACACCAACTGAACGTTCTGAGCATATAATTTTGTTTTAGTTGTAGTATGAGTAGTACTCACTGAAAGTAAAATACGAATCACGGACGAGGAAAAGGCCACAGGAGCAGTAGTTTGTTCATTGAAAGAAATCAGGGGATTAAATAATATTTTACAAAACAAGTTCATTAGTCATCCACGCCTCTGCCAATCCCGTTCTAGTATTTCCGGTGTTATTTAGCTTCTATCTGGACCGCATGGTTTCTGATTGGTTGGTACAATCGACCTAGTCCGGAAGCTGTGACAGGTACGCCCTTTGCTGACATCACCCGTGAAATCTGATCGATCACAATTGTCCGAAAACTGTAACGTGTCACTCAGTGGTGTACGTCATCCCGCAGGTTAGGATCACCACAACTTTATCTATCCCGTGTTGAAACATTTTTTGCCGTTAAAGCACTATCTGATCACACAAAATTCAAAATACACAGTGGTAGAAACCCACTTTATTTTTTGTAACCCATGTCTCCGTAGGTTACTCAATGACAGACAATTGGAGCTTTCTTCGAAAGCAGTCGGGAACCGTTAGACATTCAGTTTAGAAAAATCTACCATCTAATACTACTGAATTCAACCGTGAGAGAACAAAAGTTATGCAGAGTTATACAAACCAAAACGGTATTAGTTTAGAAATAGACGTGTTACGTAATGTGAACTAAAATGAACTACAGGCAGCTCAGTGATGTGTTTGTCTTCCCAAATTCATTATTGCGTTATCCAACCGCCTTTTATAGGCATCGAATCCACCAATTTAGAGATGTAGACTTTGAACGTGCGGTTTATAATTGTGAATTGGATTGGAACATCAGAAAAAGGAGACTGAATATGAGTGTATCCTCTTCTCAGTTGAGTACAATAAACAGCTTCTGAATAACGTTGAAATCCAGGCTACAACCAAGGGGGGACTGTATAGATTTCATGCTGAAATTATTCACAGTTTTGGAGATTTAACAGGAAATAATTCCTTATGGAACAGCCATTTTGACCGACAACTCCGATACACCTGGAAACAGGCATAGCATGACGTGTTATTCTAGACAATAACAAATTGACCCAAAATAGTACATCCAGTTTCAATTTTGAATAACCCAATCATGTTCGTACTGAAAAACCACCAATCCAAACCCTACATCCCAATAATGACAAACACATCATTTGTATGTCGATTGTGAAAAGTTCAGTCAGCCTCGGTGGGACTCGAACCCACGCATGGACGCCACCTACGCTTTGTAAGCGCACGCTCTACCAGCTGATCTATGAGCCCAAACCGATGGCACTGATCTTTTCACATTCGAATTTATCCATCATTGACCTGCTTGGTTCAAATTACGTGACCCATATGTATGTAAAAAATGGCGAAACTTCTAGCGATTTTAGAGTAAATGTGTACGTGAATGGGAACTTGATTTGTTGAGATCAGACCCCATTTATTTTGACAATTGCCAAGCACAAGGACAACAGACTGAAACATCCGGAAGTGAACAATAAGCCGGTTGAATTCACAGTTGTCAGTTCGAACCCATGGGTAGTACCGGTTTTAACTTGAAGCTTACCACATTTTTGATTGGACTGATGTGTGTGTTCTGAGGGAAAACTTCACATCGCGCACCAGTCACTGGTTGATCATGTATAAACGGAACCGGATCACTTCTAGCAGGGGATGATCTAATTCCATCACAAATCCGATGGTGCAAGTCTGATCCCTTGACTGTTCATGAGTGTGTTTGGAATACTTTGTTGAATGGGGTGCAAATATTTGGGATGACCGACAAAGAGTACTGGACAACTAGCTGTTTCCTCCCAAGACCATTAAGAATGTCGGTTGCCTCTAAACAATTGAATGGGCTAATCTAGGGAGATTGAGCCATTCGCACAAAACAGTGACCATCGATCGTGCAACTCAGGTGTAAGGGTTTGAAGTCCGGACCCGAATGTTTGCGGTTCGAGTCCTGAAAAGGGCACAAAAATTATGCACTGCTGACGAGTCCCAAACAGGACGAGACAGCTGTCTAGTGCTCTTTGTCGGTTATCACAAACATCTCTATCGCATTTCAGCGTATTCATCTAATGGGGAATTTGGATTTGAAGTGACTACTCTTCGGACTTCGCCCTCACGCAAAATCTTCAGATCATCGATTCAACCATACATTCGGAAGCACCAAACTCGAGTTTCGATCTTATTAGAACTCCCCAGTAGTGTATATCGATTGGAATTAACAGATTATCATCTGTATCTTTCTTCGTTGCTGTTGGGCCAAATAAACTGACTGACTATCACTGAAGAAAACACCTGAACACACATGAATAGTCAGTTCGGTTCGGGCATGGAACCGGTTGGCACAGTGTTAACGCACATGCCTTCCATGCGATGGATCCGGAGTTCAAATCCCGGACGGGACGGTGGATATGCACTACTGATGAGCTCTAATAAGGGCACAACTCGAATCCAGTGCTCCCGAGTGCATGGCTGAATCGATGAACTGAGGAATCTGCCTCAAGTTTAAGTTAGATGAATAGCCAGTTCAAATTAATGTCATTTGCCCGATACCACTACTGNTGAGTTAAATACGAATAGTGGCGAATTAAAGACCTCAAAAGGAGTGAAACCCACTCCCATCAAGAGAACCTGGTACCTCTGAACAATTGAATTGGCTAATCTAAACACAATACTCGAAATACTTTTTTCAAATTCCAAATAAGATAAATTCAACTGACTTTGTCTGTGGCAAAAAAAAAATGGAGAGATTCATGCTTCACATTCACAGTGTCGTTAACCCAGCCGAAAATCGTTACAGCTCGTTCATTGGAAAATAGTTATCAGTGTAGATCGAGTTTTCGATAGGTCAAACTGCATTGTGCGTGCTAGTGACGCTTAGCTCATTGAGTTGCGGTAACCAAACCCAAGTCAATACATCTCGTTCGCCCTCCCCACCCCCCTTCTCCGCTGTTGATCCCCAGGAAAACGGAGTAGGTAAGGCAGCGCCTCAATGACGAACGCACATGGGCGGACGTGTTGCACTATTTATTTTTCCAGAAGGTGTAACATTGAAAAGATAGTTTCATAAACAATATTTCTATCGTCAGAAATATAATGCCTGACTTTAGGCACTGTTTTTTTCTATTGTTTTATCATTTTCGATCCCACTGTTCGGTGTGAGAAAGAAACCTAAACTGTGCATAGATCTTTCGACTTGATTTTTGGTTTTCACTAGTTGGATGAAAGTAACAGGATAACAACATTTTAAAGGTTACTATGAGAATCAGATCCATCACATTGTTGTTCGCACAGTGTGCCTAACCGTTTCACAGTACAACTTGACACGTGACTTTTTCTTTTTCATACAATAGATAAAAGGTTTGCAACTGTATCTGAACAAATCCCAAAAACACCCGCGAGAAGAACGAGCCAAACCGTATACACAATGGGCCAATGTGAATGCGCAGCCCAGTTCGGCCAGATCCAAAACGGATGAATTTATCACCACCAAGCACCAACATTATCACACGCTCAGCGCGGTACGATCGCAAGACTTGCGTGCTGAAGATGCAAGCCGGCAGACTAGCGAGGAATGGTTGGCTAATCACGGATTGGTGGCCTTAAATTTGACCGCACGTGACCTCGTCGCCATGGGACGCATTGTTTCCCCGGACACGGAAACATCGACTCCAGGTATGCAGTTCTGTTTTCAAATCCCCGTTCTCCAAACCTGTCCTGCTTCGATCTCACTCAAAATTGTTCTTTATTTTTTTTCTCTGTATTAGAACGACTACGCATGGGAGACAAAATGACAGTTCAGCAAGACCTGAAACGAAATCCGCCAGAAGCGCTGGAGTATGATTTAGAAACGGTCACTGAATACGAATGTAAGCTGCATTCAGCGATGGCGAACTACACGTTGAGAATCAAATGGTTAATGCAGGTAACTAGTAAAGTTTTCACTATTATATACGTGTATTGTACATTTGATAATCGTTGGATATCTATACTGAGATGCGTACACCGATTTTAATCAATCATTCGGTCAGTTGACCGGTCCATCTTTAAGTCTGCGCGCGTCCGTTTATGTATGTATGTATGTATGTATGTATGTATGTATGTATGTATGTATGTATTTATAAATGGATGAATGGAGGAAGTCGAAAATTTAACAATTTACTTTAAAAGTTGCAGGAAGCAATTAGGTGTCTGAAGAGGCCAAACGGCATGAGCATTCTTTTGTGTGAACTTCTTTAATCTGCTCAGAGCGCATTGCATCATTAAGTTAACGTTGAGCTGTTTACTACGATTACGTTTGGCTAAACAGTGTTTGTTAGCGCCGCGAGTCTAGACGGGTTTACGCCAAAACCCTTTCCTTATGTGTTAGGTCCAGTTATCCGTGTCAAAAGCAATTTTTGTTCCGTTAAAGTTCGAAGTAAAATCGTAACCGGGATAATACCAAAGGGGCCATACACCACATTTCATTCCCGCTAGGTCTGGTCGTTCACGAAAACCGGCAGGGAATTCGGGAAGATCCTGTGAAAATTTCATGTACCATATTTAGAGGGGGTAGGCGGCCAATCAAAGGGCTCAAATATAACACATACAGAGAGAGAGAGAGTAATTGTGAGTTAAATGTGTATTATCAATCAAGCTTTGTAGGTTCGTTGATCGTAATCAGCATAGAAGTCCTGACTTGGTAGGAGGCTTTCGATTGGAATTAACAGATTGTCATCTGTGTCTCCCTTCGTTGCTGTTGGGCCAAATGAACTGACTGACTATCACTGAAGACGACACCTGAATAAACATGAATTTGCAATTCGGTTCAACCATGGTATTAGCTGTTTGGCACAGTGATAACACACACGCTTCTCATGCGATGGGTCCGCAGTTCAAATCCCGGACGGAGCAGTGAATATGCTCTGCTGATAAGCTCTAATAAGAGCGAATTTCGAGTTTAGTGCTTCCAAGAGTATGGTTTCACCGATGAACCGAGGATTGTGTTGAATTCCGAGGGATAGTCAGTTCAAATCAATCAATATAAATTATCCCACATCACTACACACAAGTAATTGTGAGTTAAGTACGGACATACAGTCGTTGTTCATTTGCATGTGCGATTTCGTCTCTTCTGTTGTTCCGCACTAGGGGATGGAAGTGTTCTAACGTAGATAGACAGATGTCAATTGGATCAGATATAAGGAAGAATGATGGAAATAATTTCGTTTCGTTCACTCCCTCCCGCATCCATACCCCCCCCCACTCCTGATGATAGAGTTCACGACGTGTATTTGGTGTGATTAAAGGTGAACATATCGGTCTCCTGTTGGATGCGTCGCATATGAATTTGGGCTACGGTCGCGATCGTTTGTACCGGGATTACCTTATTCAGTTGATCGACGAACAGCTCGCGGCGAAACACATCCAGACCGTTTTCGTTGCCACCTACGGGACACAGACCAGTATGCTATGGCCAGTACCAATGACAGTCAATGGGAGAGTGTTGGAAGAGTTGAAAACTTTTGTCCGGGAAGAGATGAAGCCTTCGGGAAGTTCAAATCTTTTGGATGGGATCAAGAAGGTCAGTTCTGATTGTCACTATTCTTGGTTCATTACTTTTTATTTATTCGACATTTTTATAGTTCCCGTTATGCAATTTCCGTTATAATTCAGTGACGCCGATATTCGCGGCGGGTTCGAACAAGAAACCAGAGATGAAACGGGCTGATAGCCTAAAACTGATATCTTTTTCTGGTCCTTTATATCCTCAAATATTTGGTGGTTAGTTGCAGCTTCTCTATACCGAATGATGACAACCTGTATCGTTGTTTATTCAAAAAAAGGAGAAATTAAAAATGTAACTTATAGCAGTAGTTGTTGTATGAATCGGATCT